CAAAATGGTTCAGCAAGGTGGAGTGAAGACTTTTAGTTGTGGTATCACAATGGGCCTTAACTCGTGGGCTACGTGTGTCCCAGCGTAGCAGTGACAGCCACACCTACCTACATACCTACCTAAATTAATAACATAAATTAAATACATTTTGCGTTATGGGCATCAAACTAGAGAGGCATACAGCCGGAAATGTTTTCCAGGAGGGTTGCCACCTGTTAAAAAAAATTTATATAACGAAATTTATAAGGAAAATTAAATATTACAATATGGGTATCAAACTACATAGGTTTAAGAGTCCTTACTACCGAAAGTATCTTTTAGGAGGGTTGCCACCTGTTTGAAAAATATTGTTTAACCAAATGCATAAGCTAAAGTAAATATTACAATATGGGTATTCAACCAAAGAGATTGAGTACAGAGTCGAAAATATTTTTAAAAAGAGTTGCCACCTATTTTTTATTTTTATTTAATTATATTGACAAGATATATTAAACGAAACAATATGAGTGTCACATAAGAGATATTTGAGAAATATTTTAATTAGAAGGAGATATTTTCAATTGAGTTAACAGCTATCAAAATAGGAAATGCTAAATATATTAAAATTAAATGAAATATTACAAGATTGGTACCAAATGCAAAATGTTTAAGAAAGCTTTGCTAAGCAATCTTTTAGAAAAGTTGCCACCTTTTCAGAGGCCGAACATAAAAAAATTTTATGAATAAATAACACTGGTCTACAAGGGTTTTGCGAATAAGACGGGACCTGGTGTTTCCGAACGGATTTTTCGTGCTGAACACGAATCTGGGGTCCAAAACTTCCCATCACGTCACGTTTTCGAGAAAAAAGGGGTTGAAACCCCTAAAAACAGCGTTTTTGGACATTTTCGAAAAATTATAGAGCTGAACCCTGACGTGGTACAAATTTAGCATATATCAGAAATTAAAGGCTAAACCGTGCCCTTTCGAATGAGCCCTATGCCGAATTAATCGCATGCACCCTTAGATCAGGGGGTGTATTTGTGTCTAGGAGTCCAGGGAAAATTGATCGCAGAAAGAATTTCATCTTAAACGACCATATAAATTTCTTAAATTTTTAAAATCTAACTGCAGATTCGTAATCAGCGACTTTTAATATAGTTAAAACCTTGGCATTATTAATTTTCTATGATCGTTTAAGATTAAATTCTTTCTGTGATCAATTTTTCCTGCACCCCTAAACACAAATACACCCCCTGATCTAAGGGTGCATGCGATTAATTCGGCATAGGGCTCATTCGTGTTCAGCACGAAAAATCCGTTCAGAAACACCAGGTCCCGTCTTATTCGCAGACAAAAAATTGAAATTTGTAGACCAGTGTAATTTACAATGTTATACAAATTGCAACACCTTAACTCACTTGCTATTGTAGATCTCCTGCACATGTCGTATCAATCGTTGCGCATAACTCGTATACAATTTCCGGCATACTGTAAATGTTTTCGCTGAACGCTTATGCAAGCGAAAGTGTATCATCAGCGTACTGATGCCGTAGGAAATGACATTACGTGAACCTGTCACACCCGAAATATGGTCCATATGTATTGTGTGCAAAGTGCGCATTAGGAAAACTTGCTCGCCATTCTTTATAGCATATAAATCTAAATCTAAACTATCCATTGGCAATCCAATAAATTCCACATTGTCTCTGTTGGCAACTTGCATTAGGGTAATGGCGCGATATTTCTTCGGCAACTTAAATATTTTACGCATTACAAGGCGTTCAGCCTGACTGCACGTAGAGACCCACATTTCATCCGCATACGGAATAATAGCTTTGTTGCCATCCTCGTCAGTTAAAAACGATATGGCAAAATCAGTTTCGATCAAATAGAAATCGAGCAACTGTACATCTGGACGACTCAATAACGGGGTGAGTACTACAAAACGTTCACCCTTGAAATCCACCAATAGTTCCTTGTAGGCGTTATGTGCATTCTTAATCAGCCCCGATTGATTCATCAAACTTATGCCGGTTATACGCTGCTTCTCCACCTCCATTATGTGCATAATAGTGGGCGCGCGTATCTTCTCGAAACATAGAAAGTACAACTTGCCATCTGCGGTGCCTACAGCGGCATACGGCATAGAGTTGTGCGCGCCAATACAGCAGCCCTGCGGTACATGCAACTCTGCGTATTTAGTGTTGCGTGCTGGCTCGACGACGAACACCATGCCGTCACGTGTCAGTATAAGCAAATTCTCCTCCTTCAAACCCTGCAAGTAGGAAAACTCTTCCACGGTATAATTCGATACCGAGAATTCGTTTAGTTTGCCAACATATTGATCAACTTGCAATTGATACAATGTGCCTACATCATTGGCGACAAAGGCTTCTCCGGCGAAATTCGACGCCATCTTCTTAACGGACACACTCATTTCCTGCATCACCCACTCAACGGTCCACAGATTGCGTTTGCGTGTTATGAACGTGACGGATTCCCGATTGACCACCATGAGACCATGCTTGTGCGGATATAAGTTGTACGCTTGCGGTTGGCCTTCATGCGTGAAAGAAGTGCCCCACTGGCGTAGCAAGTAGAATTGCGCAACTTCTACCTGCAGGTGAACGAATAAAAAAAATAATAATAATAATTTCCATTCGATTTCTTTCGCGCTGGTATTGGTGGTTGTCTAGAGCGCGAGTACTTACACTGAATACCACACCGTAATCGTTCACCACATACATTACATCATCCAGAAAACACATGGAGAATTGTGTGCTCAGCGAGTGGCCCTTTTGTAATTGCACGCGCGATATTTCATGCAATTTTGTCGCCTCTGCAGTGTAATGTATCTCCCAGAAGACGATTTCTTTCACAAACTTTGAGTATTGCATAATCATGGGCCAAGTGCGGCTGGAGCATTGCAGGGAGTAAGGTGAGCATTTGATGCCTGTTTGTACTTCAACTAAGAGATTGCCTGTACGGCAATTCCATATGCGAAATGAGTAATCAGGAAAACCGCTTAGAGCGATGAGTAAATCATGATTGGAGAATAGCAAGTCCACATAGCTGACGACATTATTACCTGCCAGGAGGAAAAATGAAACTTAACTTATGGGAAAGGAAGAAGAGTTTTATTTCTAGAAAAAAAATTTGCTTTTTATTAGAATAGATAAATGAGAAGGAAAACCTATTTCGATAGAAACGAAAACGACATTAGAACGCGGCGGATTTAATTCAAAAAACGAGTTCGAAGCTAGTCAGTTTTCTTTAAATTTTTGTATTGAAAATCGACAACTAAATACCACATGTGAGCCAAGATTAACCGAGCTTATCCTTGTTATCATTATTATGATCTATAAACTGAACCCTCCATCAAAGAGAACACGTCGAAACTTTCGTCAGGACCAGACTTCTTTTTCGCTGGGCCAGCCTTTCTGAAGCCACTCATCTAAGGCAACGTAGGTACCTTCATCTAACACAGCCCTGGAAATGTCTATTTCAAAAGCTCAAAACACTTTAATTTATTTGTGGTACTTGTACCACTCGGTCAGACCGACTCACTCGAGGCACCGTCTGTTACATTAATGCATAATAATAGTTGATTTCCACCAAATCTTAACTAAAGTTTATGCATATTGAAAAAGGAGATTACAACTCGAAGGGGGAAATTCCATCTATTAATTAGAAAAAAAAGAAAGAAAAAAAGCAAAACTTAAGAAAAAAAATTGCCGATCACCCCATTTTAAAATTTTTGGAACTTTTCTAAGCTCTTAACTGCAGTTAAGCCTTTGGTGGAAATAGGCTATAAATCGAAAATCTTTACATTATTTTATGTATCTACACTTTCCAATACTTACTCTGCAATACAAACAGCTTATGCATATCCGGATAGCGAACGATGTGTATATTTGGCCGTATAACAGACTCTGAGTAGGCAAACATTGGCAGCGAAAAGTGTCCGGCAAGATTTCGTGCACCCAATCCAACAATCGGATTATCGACGTTGTAATAAAGTTTATGTTGAGTTTTCAAATCCGTAAAATGTATAGTATGATCATGCAACAAAGCCAACGCTTCCATGCCAATGCTTACCAGCGTATTCGGACGAGCATAAGTGGCCCACAAGCTGGGGAAAAAGCGGAAGGGAAATAAGTAGAACAGACATGCCGATCTGCAAGAAAATCAGCAAAATCCAATGCATTTCAAATTACCAAGACTGCCATGCGGGTATGTTGGCCATTTCGATTGTTTGTATGTATTTAATTGGTTGAAGAGTTCAAACTATTTTAATTCTGCTTTATTTAAACCAAAATCCTTTATTAATAAAGTTAAGTTAAAATTAATTTTTTGTTTAAAGAAGTTTGAGTTGCTGAATAATAATGAAGTTTCTTACTTCAATTAGCTTATTAATTTCAAACAATTTGTTGTTGTCATGACAAAGAGTGGATGTGATTGGGCAACGCCAGGTGAGTCTGAAGTTTCAATGTTGCCGTGTAGACTGTTTTATAACCAGCCATGTTCTGAGGCTTTTCGGTGTAAAAGGAAACATTTGTATCGCATCTAGAACTTCTCCGAAGTTTCTTCCAACAGAGTCCCCGTCGTCGTCGTGCCACAATCTAAAAAGGTACAGTGCACACTCGTCTTCATAGTTGTCCTCGCCCTGTAGGGATATTCTGTAACCAATTTGCAACAATATTCGTAACGCTATCGCAACCTGTCGACATTCATAACACACGTTGGCAAATTGCGATGGCGATCCGAAGATTGTTGCTAACTGGTTAAGAAATCTCACCACTGGTCTTGAAATCTCTCGTAACTAGTAGTAAGAGTAGAACGCCGCTCCAAGCTTTTGGGGCATTTAGCGCTTTTCAGACTTTCTGTCTGGCGGAATGAAGTGGAGAAGGCTGCGCTAGGCAAGGGGCTGAAGCAGCTGCAACGAACTGCCGTCGTTGGAATCAGTGGGCACTTAGGACAAGTCCCACCCTGCCCCTTAACGACATGCTTAACGTAGCGCCTGACGATACCGCAGCTAAAGCAGCTGCAGCAAGAGCGTCAGCCAGTCTTAGAAGCACTAGTTGCCTGACTGACACGGGGTTTGAGCACTCTAGTTTTCTCGGAGGTTTCAATTACATCCCTGATATCACTGATCACAGCGTGACTAGCCCGGCACCAGCTAGGTCTTTCTCCACGCACAACCCATTAAGGGCTGATATTGTGCGCGGATCCCGAGATCCCGGGACTAACATTCCTAGTATCAATATAAATGGGTTTGGAGAGGCTTTTTTTCTAAACCTCATGTAGGAGGGTTGCCACCTATTTGAAAATAATTTTTTACGTGAATTCACGGAATTAGGTAATTGGAATATATATCACAAAATGGGTATAAGACGAAAGAGGTTTAATAAGGTTTTATGTAGTTTAAAAATAATTTAAAGAGAGTTGCCATCAGTTTGAAAAGTCGAATTTATTAAAATGATACACCAGTAAAAGTAGCAAACGCCAGAGTGTTTAGACATCTTTAGTTTGAACTTGTAGAATTTCCAAAGGGTTGCCAACTCTTTTAAAACTAAATTCAAATAAAATTGTTTATTAAATTAAGGGAATTATTACAATATCGGTATCAATCGAAATGGTTTTGAAAAGGCTTTATTTCTAAACTAGATGTAGGAGGGTTGCAATCTGTTTGAAAACTCAAATCAGGCTGGAATTCTGAGAATAAGTCAAGTAAAAATTTGTCACAAAGAAATATTTTTAAGGAATTTTTAGTTTGAAAGTATTTATGTACATACACAGTATTTTAAAGGGGGTGAAAAATAATTTGATTTTTTTTTGCCGATGTTAAGTATGTTGAATTATATTGAAATAAATTACACCTAATTTTGCACGCAGAAATTTCATACATATGTACGCTCAACGAAGCGGGTGAGAGCAATTTAGTATATTTATAAAAAATTTTACTTCAAAATTTGTTTTACTGTGTTTTTGGGGTCGCTTATTACGAATTGGCTCTCGAAATTATGTCAAAAGTATTGCACAAATGCTTAATTTTTTAAGATCGTCGTATAGGAGTAGTCGCAGATTATATATAAACTTAAACGAAAAACTAATCACATATTTTGAATTTTTCAACTTTGCTTTTAGTTTTGTAATTATCCTCCACTGCTTCTGCCATATTGAATACGCCATCTTGAATTTTCAAAAACTGATTTCAGTTTTGTTTTGATATCAAATTTCATAAAAATCAGAAAATTTCTTTCAAATCCATCTGTCATATTGTATCGCCATTTTGAATTTTTAAAAACTGAGTTCTGTTTTGTAATCAGGGACTCAAAGAACTTTTTGATATCAAATTTAATAAAAATCTGACAATTATTGAAAAATCCAACCGCCTTATTGGGTTCGCCAGTTTGAACTTTTGAAAACTGATTTCACTCATAATCAGCACCTTCAAAATCCCTTGAATACGAGATTTAAAAAAAATTTTAAAAATCACAAGACAATATTTTATTGACCGATATGGCATAGGGGTTGTTAAGGACCCTTTTTCCCATAGAAACCATACATGACTTGATCTAGAAAAACGGCAAAAAAAAACTGGTACTTTTTTCTCTACAATCCGAAAATTCTTGATTTTTTACGAACGAAGTCGAAATTCACGCGTTTGTCTATGGCTATCAAGCACAAACTAAATCATTATATGTAGCTTGCTAAAAACGTTGACAGTAGCCTCTCAACAGCTGATAGTTGACAGCAGCAGTATTGCATTTAAAATTACTTTACTGAAAATTCAAAAAGTCACTCACTTATTAAACTGCCCCCGTACTAAGTACGTAATAGTTAGAAATATGGTACACTCTATAATAAATTAATATAACGGATAATTTTTTTCCGTAGATCGATACACAGGATAAGTATATGAATTTTTATTCAAGCTGCTTTTTCAAATTTTAGTTGATACTCATACCAAGCTGACAGACTTAAACTACGTATACATATTTGATTAATTTATTAACTTTATTTATTCCATTATTTATTGGTTATATAAGTATATATAGTTTTCATATAGATAATTTGGTGATTTGTTGTCAAATACCTTTCATTGAATTTCTGCCCTTTATGATAACTTTTAGTTGTACAATGTCCGTTTAAAACATGTTTTTCTCAGCAGGAGTTTTCTTTTTTTTCGTTAGTTTCACTCGGCATAGATAATATATATATGTGTATTAGATAAGAAGCATAAGCATATAACTGAACTTTTGTTTTTATATATGTATCTATTTAAGTACATAGTATACCTTTGCAACATTTCAACATAAATGTATGTGAATGCGTTTAATAGTTTGATTAAATATTTGAGAGTATAGTATATAGTTGAGTAAGTAGATATATGTATATTCAGCGCATACGATTATTTGTGATTATATATATATGGATACATACATAGATAGATAATTTGGATATTCATTATAGTGGGTTATATTCATTTTTATATTGATTATTGTTCATTGAATGTATGATTTATATATGTACTTGCGTTTGTATTTCAATAGCCACATGTCATTTGGGGAATGTTGTATTTATGTATATGAATGTAAATTCTTTTTGATATATTCTCTAATACCGTGGTAACCTCATATTTTGCCGCAGTTAGCTCATTCGCTCATTTAACAAACAAATATTTAATGTTTGTTCCACTACTAGTCGGTAGAATTGCAGCAGGCGCTTTTCGCCTCTACAAATAAATAAATTCAATTCGTCCTTATTGGTATTTCGTTGCCTTTTCGTTTGGCTTCCTTCCATGCCAGAAACTCTTCGATCTATCATTGGTGGCTTTGCTTTGTCGAGTCTTTGCTGTTGCTGCTCCTCCTCCATCGCTTTGATCTTGCCCAAACGATGTTCGACTATTTGATCGACATGAATGAAATCGCTCGATTCATTTAATGGTTCGCCAGTTAGGATTTTACGCTGGATTTCGCTGCGATAATAGTCGTTGATTAAAGAGAGCATACCCTTGGAGTACCAATAGATGATGCCCATCAATAGTACGCCTTGCATAAAGGGTCCAACCATTTTTTGGTCTCTTTTTTTTTGTCACTTAATAACTATGGATAAATACTTGATATTTTTATATATGTATATATATTTGCTTTACGCTTGCTGTTAGCTTGTATATATGTATGTAGTGGTTATATATGTATATATGTGTATAGTATATATTAATTTTTTGATTATATATATATGTGTTAATAAATCTTTGCAAGATTACTTTAAATATTCTGTTTCAAATAATTTTTTAGTTGAACGCACAAAAAATTTATTGCGCTAGTTGAAATGACTCAAACCATTCTCTCAACATGTAGTACTGCTCTTTGAAATTCGGCCAAGCCATGGTGACAATCAGCATGATGGTATTGGCGAATACAAACAACTTCATTATCTCCAAAGCTAGAAAGAGAGAAAACAGTAAAAATAATTCACACAAATCCGATTTCCTCAAAAAAATTTAAGCTTATTAATATGCACTTAATGATTACGATTACATTTTGATTACTAAAGATTACGATTACTGTAATTGTAATCTCAAAATTTTCAGCATTACTATTACCGTAATTGTAATTATAGCATGCTTGATTGCGAATACTTTAATTGTTATCCATAAAATTTAACGATTACGACTACTGTAAACGCAATCGTACTTTTTATGATTACGATTGAACCTAGTAATGGTAATCCTAAAAATGTTATGATTACAATTACCATAATTATAATCATGAAAATTAGAATAAGATTACAGTAGTCGTAATCGTTAAATTTTTAGGATTACAATTACGGTGTTCGTAATCATGTATTTCATGATTACAATTACAGTAATCTTAGTCCTTGAATTTTTAAGATTACAGTTATTATAATAATAATGGTTACATTTATGATTACAATTAACGTAATCGTAATCGTATATAATTTAAAATGTAATCGTAATCTAAAACTAATACTAGCATGTACAGGGAGACCACCTCAAATGGAGGAAAATAGTTTTTATTGAAAAAAGCAAAAAAATTTACCTAACAAATCGAGGATGCTCTGTTGTTTGGTTGTGTTGGAGATGCTGGAAAATGAGACGACATTTCTTAGCTTATGGACATATGTACATTAGGGTGGCAAAAAAAGGTAAAGTCGGAATTTTAATGCTCCCACCTCCTAGGATTGTTCTTTACCGAAAAAAAATATACCCGTTTTTTTATACCCGGGTACAATTGTGCACAGGGATATTGTAATTTTGTTCGCATAACGGTAGTTTGTAACAGCCAAAACGGATCGAGATAGATATAGACAAATGTGTACATAAATGGTCGGAATGAAAAGATAAATCGATTAAGCCATGTCTGTTAGTCCGTCCGTCCGTGTACACGATAACTCGAGAAAATATTAAGATACATATGTCAACGAAATTTGGTAAGTAGGTTGCCCTTTATCAAAGGTCGGTTTTTATTGAAAATGGGCAAAATCGGTATTTTAGAAATATGCAAAAAGTACCATATTTCCACAAATACTGTATCCAAATTGGTGAAAGTTTGGTATGCGAAGTAGAATTTTGGCATAAAATAAGACAGTTATGCAATTTTTTGAAAATGGCGTAGCACGGCCCTTCGCAAATCACCTCCAAACTCGGTGCGAATATTGCTTAGAGCCTCACTAAGAAACCCGTTGAAAATTTTTGAAATCAGACAAGAACCACGCCCATCTCCCATATAACGGCAATTTACAAATATACGAAAATTGCGCAAAAAATAAGTAACTATTTAAGTCAATTCTCTCAAAATCGACATATGCAATGTCCTCTTAGTAGAAAATGATACTTAGAGAAATTTTTGGAAAATGGGCGTGGCACCGCCCACTTACACCTACATTAATGTATCCCGGTAACCGGTTTATCAATTTCTACCAAACTCGGTGCAAACTTGATACTTGATATTAAGACCAGAATGGTAATTTAGAGAAAGTTGAAACGACTATATTTGATAACTGCGCCGGTTATAAAAAATTCGGTTTCGCCCCGAATTAATACTTCTTTACTTGCTTTTTTTTTTGAAATCCAAAAGTATTTAAGGGTCGCTTAAGGCGCTCAGAGTGTTCCATGTATTTGATATGGGGTATATTTTTTTTTGGTATTGGACAATCCTAAGAGGTGAGAGCATTAAAATTCCGACTTTACTATTTCTTTACCATCCTAATGTGAATACATATAATCCTTTGAGGTCACTTTTTTACGGCATATAAGGTAAATCAAAAGACCCCACTGGGAAAATAGGTAAGCACCTTACGAGGTGAGCCATGTTTTCTTTCGGTTTTTAGTACCAAAATTGTCATCATGGCCAACGTCATCTACTAGTAAAGCGCAAAATGAACACCTGGGAGATTCGTCAGTCAAGTCGTAAGGACCGCCGGGTAAAGTGTAAGTTGCTGGCAAGGTATTGCCCTGAGTCTAAAGGCAATTTCAATTTTTTCCCCAACCCAGGGGTCGCCATTTTACATGGCTTGGTGACACCTACGTATATTCGGGGATTATATTTTTTCTGCTGACATAATCAAAGTACTTCATAGCTAAAGCTTTATAGTTTTGGGCGAGCTTTACTTCTGACATTACGGTGGTAGGTTAGGATGATAAAAATTGAGCTCTGGTGGGTAATCACTAAAATGAGTTACTTGATCGATATATATCATGCTTTAAGATCGGACTGTATATACCGAAGTTATGATATGACGAAAAATATAAAAAGGCCACCCTACGTTCGGCAAAAAAATCGAGATTGCCGTCAAATCGAAATATTTCTTTAGCAAAAGTGAGTTTTGGTGAACTTTAATTTACTGAAATTAGGGTCGAACTTTAGTGTGGTAGGAACTGAGATTTGATGGGTAAGTACTAGAGCCGGGTACTTGAGATTAATACATGTATCAAACTTTAAGATCAGACTGTAAATGCCGAAGATATGACAAAAATTTAAAAAAGCGACCTCTAGATTCGGTCAGAAAACAAAAGTTTTCGGAATTGCCCTACAAACATACTTTAGATCCAGGGGTGCCGGCGAATGTTTTTTTCTGGTATGGTCTAATGTACATACGTACATTTACATATGTACATATATTGTATGTTAGGGCGGGTCAATTTTTTTTACTATGCGCGTATAGCATTGGACTCCAATGGATGATTGGAGTATTCTACGTGTAATTCTAAGCCAATTGGCCGAAGAAACTATGGGTCTAAAATCAACTTGGAGTTCGTCAAATTGCAAAAATAGGTTTAAAAGAAAATGTGAAAATTTTCAATGTTGCGCCCGCTGGTGGAAGTTTTAAGAAAAAGGTAAGTGCAGAAATAGATTCCTCATGCCAAAAAACTCCGCATAGCATATTTTTTTACAAAATGCTAAGAAACCCATTTTCGCAATTTGGAAAACTCCAAATTGATTTTAGACCCATAGTTTCTTCCGCAAATTTGCTTGAATTGTTTACGTAGAATCCTTCTCTGCTGTACGCGCATAGTCGTAAAAATCGCACATGCAAATTGACCCATTATGCAATTTTTTTTTTATTCAATTTCGTCACACACTCAATTTAATTACTTTTGTTTTACTTCAATCTACTAATTTTATAAAACACTAATTATGAAAATTACTTCAACATCTGTATGTATTATTGTAGTTGCACTTTGTAACAAAATACTTGCCTTTTAAATATAAGTAAGTATGTTTTTTTTTTGTTAGTTTTAATTTTTCGACAAATATTTTATATATTTTTTAAACTTTCTTCTTCTTCTCTTCTTTACTTTCGCTTTATTTCGTAAAAAGTATTTGTGTCAAGAGCAGAATATTACTAGTACCTTCCGGCGAGCGCATATAATCACCAAAACCGGAATTCAAATCCTTCTCCGAGTGCAGCTCCTTTGCCTTCTCTGCCTTCAACTTCTCCTCTTGCTTGGCATCGGGCTCCTCCTGCTTAGCCGCATTATTGCGATAGCTATTCCGCGATTTGCCATAACCCGACGACGAGTTGGCAAATGCGCCTTTCTTAGGCTTCATTTTGTGGGCTCGGTAATTCTACCAGCACTTTTTCGCCGATTATTGAACGTTATATAATTCCGTTTTCGCACAACAAACTCGCAGCCTGGACAGGCCACTAATTGTCGCGAAAAGACTCCAACTACGCCGCTTAGTTGTCGCCAACTGAATCTGCAATTTCAATACATTTTTCTGTTAAGGGAAATTGAACTGAACCTCGTACCTTTTTTTTTGGGTCACTTTCACGCGCACACGCGTAATTCTTATGGCTTCCAAGTTGTTTCTATTGATTACCTGTTACTACTTATTTATAATGTGTGCATCTGTGTGGAAAGTGGATAGGAAATTGTGACAAATTCTTATGCAGGAGCATGCAAATAATCGGTCAACGGCAAGTGAAATGAAAACCATCATTCTATGGGTGTGCCTTTGGTAGCAGAAAACGAACGAGGAAATAATTCAAAGTAGGCTCAAAAATATAATTTTGTATTAGTATTTTTTCGCCTGATGCCAAAGAGAATTCAAAACTCGTATCGAAAGAATAGCAACGCATTAAATGTGAATATTCTGAAGTCCTTATAAAGACGGTATAGTCGTATTACTTAAAACGAGCAATTCTTGCATATATCCAAAGGGTTCGCCGGAACGGCTCTAACGATTTTGCTGAAAATTTATACACAGATAATGTTTTGGATTTTAAGGCTATTTCCGAGAAGACTCGTATAAAATTGAATTACATAGAAGAGCAGCAACACTGGTGGAAAATATTTTTTGACAAAAGTTCTCAACAATGCCTTTCATTTGATACCTATATTGGGATGTTTTAGATAAATTGCGTAGAATCGAAAATAAGTGGCAACCTTACCCTATTATCCTAAGGGATAACATTTTGTATATAGGGAAATCGTTGTTTAAGAACCTTCTCTTGATACTCATGAATAGTAATATTTTACCTTTTTCTCTAAATAAAAAATTAAATAAATATACGATTCAAAATAGGTGGCAACCTTATTAAAAATATTTTTGAATTAGAGATCTTTAAAATACCTTCCATTTGATACCCATATTATGATGTTTTAATTAATTTGTAACTTATTTCGAATAGGTGGCAACCATATACGAGTCTTCTCGTATATAAGAGTCAAGGTACATTGAACAGGTAGTATCAGTAGAGCAGCTGATTAGATTTATTTTCAAATTATTTGGTCTCGAAAATGTCAAATATTTTTAATTTTTTCTCACAAAAATTCTGAATTGTTAAAATCCATTTGCATATGAAACCTTTTTCCATACAAAACAAGCGATTGAATAGCACGACCGCTGATTACTGGGCCTTGCAAAGGATGGATCAATGCTTCGAGAAGCAAACAAATTTACTAGGAAAGTTGCATCAATTTTTATTTTTTCCAATTTCAATTTTTTATTTTTTATAATTTTTTGTATTTCACATGGCACGCTTTGATTTAGAAGAAAAAATTCAGAACAGTATTTGACACTTTCGATACCAGAAGCAACAACAAAATACACGCAAATGTTGTTTTTGCTCTACTGATACTACCTGTTTAATGTGCCTTGATAAGAGCCTATTCCGATAACCTTAAAATTCAAAACTGTGCACAGATTTTCGTCAAAATCGTTAGAGCCGATATATATACAAGAATTGCTCGCTTAATGTAATAAGATATACCAACAGTCCCTTACAATAGGCATGTGGAGCTCTCGAAGGCAGTCACGGGGAATCCGGTTTCTTATGTGCAGGCCAATCAGTCTCTCCAAAGTTTTTAGCAGAACATGAGACAGATTGATAGACCTTTATAGCCTTGGGAATGTACGCGGCCCTCAGTTCGCATAAATAGGATGCAGCCAATTTTACGACACCTCCACAGTCTTTAGCACGCGGGGCTGAATGTTTTTCATGACTTCCTCTTCGCTCAACTCATACGAATGAGGTAATTCCGCTTTAACAGGAAAACAAAAATTTTAAAAATCACTTTTATAATTTATAGCTGCATTAAATGCATTTTTACGGCTTTATTTGCATAATTTAAAGGAGTATGTAATACAATTTTAGGTAGTAGAGCCACTCCTTTTCTAAAATAATATACAATAGTAGAATAAAGCATGCAAAACTACTAGAAGAAAATAATATAAAATTAGTTGTTGACTAATGCAGCTGAGTTGGCCCTTTTGTCTCTTACAAATATATATACACACATATACCCAGACGTATGTATGTAAGTAAGCATATGGGGAATTACAGTATACAGCGTTCATGATGTTGCTTAATTTACTCTTTAATTTTCACAAAACTCCACGATATTTTTACTTGTCTTCATACTTCTATGGTCATAAGCAATAACCGCCTAAGTCGAAAAACCTGAATTCGAGAAGAAACGTTTTAAACATTTGAATCGTAATGTTATCCTTATGGGGATACCAAAATATGTGCGTCTATAACATTTGAAAAAGCCTAGCGGGCGAGATGAGGATTTCACATACACATGGAATAGTAGTTGCAGAATACGATAGCATAACTCAATTCTTTCTTAAGTCGACTTAAGCGGTTATTGCTTATGACCATAGAATTATGCATTTCGTATTTAATTAGACTGCCTGCTATATGTAAATGTTCATAATATATAATTTTATGTATTTTATTTATGTACATACATGTTTGTATGTATGCAAATGTATACAGAGTAGAAATTTAAACAAACGGATATTAAAATATGGGCGAAAAGCACATGAGCACCTTCCAAAGACTAAAAAAAAAACAATGCAGCGCGTACTCACTGCATTATACATATGTACATATACACAACTACGAAAGATAAAATAGCAATCTTGAACAAGCCATAAAAAACAGTATAATGCAATACATACTTATGTAGGAAATTAATTAAGAGTACAATACATATGTACATTACACGGCAATGCTTTTAATTATCATACAATGCAATTGAATTTCTAAGCATAATGCTAATCAAAGAGAAATATGTAATTAATTTTGCAGTATAGTTTGCGTCACTAAACTTAAGACCTTTTTTTAGTTAATACGTTTTTTTTTCATACTCAATATTTGCTCTTTTTTTATTTTTGTAATGCAACAACAAATGCAATTGAACTGCAAACTTTTTCGCATTTTCTTTTTGGTTATGTATATAATTAAATTTTTTGCTTGCTTCTTTTGGCAAAACTACTAATTTTCTTCTTCTGCTAAGCAAACACATACACAAGTAAATTTTAGTATATAGTAGATATATAGACGATATGCAATATAAATTTAGAATAGCAGCTTTTATTAGTTAAAACACACATGCGCACGCGAACGTTAGACAGGACACAAGCATATCGGTTGCGCGCTTGCCTGCAGAAATGCCTTAAACAGGTTTAATGGATTACATGTGTATGTATGTACGCCGAACTAAGTAGCATTTTTTACAAAACAGATAAAATAAAAGACATCCACAAAAATTTAGAACTTAAACAAAAAAAATGAGGGGTCCCTACCAGGTTTTGAAAAATTTTTATTTTTTTAAATCGCAACAATTCGATAAAATTTTGACTTTGATCAGCTCTAACTCCGCGAGCTTATAAATTTACATAAATTATGTAAAAAAGTTTCAATAATATGTCACATTTATAGGATTTCACGTCAAAATTTTTGCTAATTTTTGCGTTTTAAAAAAATTTTAGTTTTTATTAAAACCTGGTAGCGACCTCTAATTTTGTTTTTGTTTTTGTTTACTTTTAAAATATCGTGGATGTCTTTGTACGTAGAACAAAATAATGAGGTTCCTCATACAATATTTAGATGTCGATATTTTAAGGACCAACTTACTACTCATCTAGTGCACTTAAAAAATTTATAGAAATTGCTTTTGGCATTAATTTATATGCGGAAAAGCACCGTGACAAAATCGAATATGTATCTCAAGTACGAGAACAGATAGCGAAATAAATGTAACTGTTTAGATTTAAGCTTTTGAGTTGGAGAAAAAAAATTACCTTGACTTTAAAAGTTACTTTTAAATATATGTAGGTTTTAATTTTTTTACCTAAATGCAGCATGCAATGAAGTTTTTAAAAAGTTTTAAAGATACATATATAAAAAGATTAAAAACAATACTTAGACATTTAAAACACCTCCAAAAGAACATTTTTTTGATTTTTTGTCTCTTTTAACCTAAAAACAGCAGTAGGTATTGCACTTTAAAAAAAATTTAAATCCATTTTTTGGTCATTTTAAGCTTAGTTATATTATCTCTTCTCGTTCTCGATATACTTGATTTTGTCACAAAAAAAATTCATTTTCCCCACTGTGCGCCGCTTGGAAAACTAATTTTTATTTGTTAAATTGAACATACTCTGCCGACAAAAATTCTTGGCGCAGCAAAATTTTCCCTATATGCAACAATATTTTTTTAAATATTTTTCCGCCAGTTTCTTATAAAAATATGATTTATTCAACAACAAAAAATATAAAAAATAATTCCTAAGCTTTGTGCAAAACTCGCGAAAATTCGGCAAATTTTCAACTTTATAATCAGATTTTTTTGAGTATGCAGATTTGTAGCTTGGCAATTTTTTTTCACATGGTCTCTTCCAGACAAAAATATTTTTTTCGAAAATACTTTATAAGGAAAAAATGCGAAACACCTTCAACAAAAAAAAATCTCAAAAAAACAATGCGATTTTTGACTAACTCCGAACTTTCATTTTTTTACTAGAATGGGCTGCAAAACTGAATACTCAAAAAAATTAAAAAAAATCTGATTAAAAAGTTTAAAGTTTGCTGATAATTTTCTGAATTTTTGCGAGTTTTGCACAAAATTTAGGAATCATTTTTTATTTTTTTTTTTATAGAAAGAAAATTGTTGCATATATTGTGAAAAATTTGCTGTGCCAATACTCTTTGACGGCAGTGTAGCAATCTTGAAAAAGAGTTCCCTTAGCATAAAAATAATAGCTAACTACTTAGTTCGGAGCATGTACATTTCGCTGCACTGCTCAGTTGTTGCACACACACACACATATACGCGCGATTGCACTTACCCTCAACTGCAGCTGAATCGTGCAAGATTACATTTACCTTATCTTATTAATTCTTGTGCGTTAATTTATAATCATTGCTTAAGTTTTTTGTCTTTTAATATAACATTTTCTTACAGTTCTTCTTATACATACAAGCTCATGTTTTTTAATTAATTTCTACTTTAATCTGCCACTTTTTCTGTATCATTCGAATTCGTGCGTTGAATTCTTTCCTTTTTGCATAATGAAAGCATTTCTATTTCTACGCAATAAAACTTGCGCACTTGCAACATTTACAAACTTTTGAGTTTATTTAACCTGAGCTGTACCCGTTTTGTCGAGGTATTCCAACATTTATGTATGTATCTTTGACATATTCGTCTTTCGCGTTTCTAACTTAATTCAAAGTTGAAACTGTGTTAGAAACTGAGTTTGAAGTAAATGCATAGTGAACAAGTAATTTAGAATAATTGCTTAAATAGTTGCCTATCACTGCTACCGCTTGATTGTGACTTTTGCAAATGTTTCAGAACAACAAAAAGTTATATATGTAAAACTCAAAGATATTATGAAAGTCTAAAATTGTTTTATAAATATTTTATTAATATGTATGTGACTTCTAAGAAGCCTTTTCTTATCATTGCGCCAATTTTTTCTAACAAAAACTAAATGCCGACTAATATTTCTTAAAAAAAGGGCTTGAACAAGTTTCTAATTAAAAAGTTAATTGTAAAAATATAATTTTAAAACAAGCTTTCTAAGTATGAACCGAATCGGACCATAAATACGGATTTTCCCACCTAGCCGATTATTTCATCTTTCATATTGCATTGTCATTGTCGGGTTGGGAGCTAAGTTTCAAGTCTCTAGCTCATCGGGAAGTTGGTGAAATATTGATTGCAAATTGCAAATCATACTTACATATGTACAATGTACATTGTACATACAAGTAAAGTTAAATAAAAGCTTGTAAATAGAGTTAAAAAAATTTTAACTCAAAAGAACAAAATCTTTCAAATTTAAAAGAAATACAACTTAAATTTTTATGCTTTTGTATTGAAGAGTATGAGGAAGCAATTATCAGCATTATTTTTTCTTTCCGTTGGACCGAGTAGCGTAGTGGTAGTAGTATTTTCCACAGTTTGCACGGTCAGGAAAAACCCCGGAAAAATTTCAGCTTATTTGCAGAAATCACATTGAATAAAAATTTTAAATATTGTGCAACAAATTTTTACGGACATTTAATGTTAAAATCTGAGCGAATTCCATCTGGCGAAAAGCATTGCCTTTCTTGCAATTTTCTATCTAAAAACACATACGTAAATAATTTAGTTCTTAATTTTTATTACAAAAGTACTGGAGGTTATCTTTTCTTCCAAACTCTTAATGCATTTTTCCCAAACACAATTTCAACTTGGCACACTCTGTCGAAGCGAACGCGACGCGCTTATTTATGTACAATACAATCTTTTTGTATAAAAGTTCAGTGTTTACTGTCAGTGCGCTTGTGGGACTGTCAACGGGTGTGCGTGTGTGTGTGTGCTAACATATACATATACAAAAATATAACAGTGCTCGCGTGTCTGCATCTGCATACATACATACATACATGTGTGTATTATTCTTCAATAACTATTACAAATAAAAATAAACGCTAGAAATGTGTCGCCTACGCCTAATCGGATTGTTTCTTAACCACCGAAGGCGGTGGTGGCGCTGGCACCGTCGGTCGTTTCGTTAATATCATATGCGGCGAAACGGGCGTTGTGGGTGTGATACGCGTTATCGGCGCCGGTGTTTGTGTTTGCGCTTGTGCTGTGCTCACTGCCGAAGGTGTTGTCACTGACGCTGTAGACGTAGCCGCTGCTGCCAAAAAAGCTGTCGCGTCTGGTTGCTGTTGCGTAGGCGCGCAAATATTGGCATTCGTATTCGAATTCGAACGTGAGTGACCACCGCCACCAACGCTGTAAAGACTGCCTATGCTACTTCGGTTGCTGCTGCCGCCAACGCCACCGCCGCCACCGCCGCTGTTGGCACTGTTCACATTTGCATTTTGTTCCGAAATCAATAGCTGTTGATTGTGCTGATTTTCGCGCGTTGCCGTCGCTGCAAAATTGTTATCACAATTTTCGCTGCGTAACTTCTCGATGAATTTCTCAGTGGTGCGTGAAACTATACCACCACCACCACCGCCACCGCTGCCACCGCCACTGCCAATACCAGCGATACCACCATTAGCAGCCACACTACCATTGCCTGTTTCCGTGGTCTGTGATTGCGCTTGCGTTGGCGTGGTCTCATCGTCACTTTTACTACCACCACCACTGCCGCTGAGACTCAGCACCATTGGTCGTTTTGGTATCTTTGGTTTTTGTGGTAAATCAGGCTTGAAGGCGAGCGAGCCACCTATGCTCTCGGTACTCTTACGATCTGCTACCGGTGAGGGTAAATTATCCAAACCGAAGAATTGTGTACGCGTCATGGGCACCGGCTTGGCCGATTGCGGTGGCTCTGGTAGTGGTTGAGCTTGTGGTGTCACCTGCGCAGGCGGCTGTTGGAACTGTGGCAACTTTGGTAATGGCGGCTTTTCCGGCTTCTCTGCGCTTGTGCTGTTGTTACCATTATTGTTGTTATTGTAATATTTATTATTAACTGCTGGTGTTGCGACTGCGGTAGCTGTGGTGTTTGGAAAGAGTTCTTTTACGCGTGAATTCACCTCGCCGTTGCGTTGGATTTCATTGGAGGTGGAGATTTTTTCCACCACTTTGGCAGCGCTTGGTGGTGAAGGCGCGCAGGCTTTCTGCCGGCGTATGGTGCCGTAACGCGGACTCTCGAGGGAATCTGCAAAGAGGAAGATGTGTTATAATCGCTTTTAAGTGAAATTTGGGTGATAAGTAGACGTGTCGCAAGAGCAGTTAACACATGGAGAAGTATTATTTGTACATATTACTGGTATTAACCACGGATTTTACTAGGTCTTACAATAGCAAGAAAAATTTGTCGTCTCAGAGGCAAACGAAGCACTCTGCATATTCCAGAAACATATTTTAGATACAGTAGGCGACAAGAATAACTGGGACAATGAACGACCTAAACCCCGGAAGGATAGCCACATCTGGTATACTCACAGCTCAAAGACTGACCACGGCGTCGGAGCAGGAGTCTACGGCATACAACCCAGACTGCTCCATTTCACCAGCAAGGGGCAGGGTAACTCTGTCTTTCAGGCCGAGGTTCACGCCATTGAACTTTGTCTGAGGCAGTATGTAGAAAGTGGGGCAACCAAAAAACACATCTACAAACACTCGGACAGCAGAGCGGCACTCCTCGCTCTTAAAGCGCACGAGGTCAACTCAAAGCTGGTGTGGGACTGTCTGCAACTTTTAATGGGTACCGGGAGACAGTGGAGTCATGGGCAATGAAGTGGCAGATATTGTTACAGGCTTTCTTACTGGCCACTGTAGGGTAATGAAACACTTGTCAAACATAGGAGTTGTCAACTCTGACCAGTGCAGGTTGTGTAACGAAGAACAGGAAACAGCAGAGCACATTATGTGTCACTGTGAAGCCGCCCTTACCAGGACCAGACTTCGCTTTCTAGGATCACCGTACCTAGAAGCACACGACTTCCTAGCAACTGCCTAGGCACATTTTGGCCTAATGTTGAGGCACCTATCGTGGGAAATGCGACTTTATCAATGTAGATCCTAGATTTCTTGATAAAACCATATCGGCTTCCCGATGAATTTACTGAGTTCGCTTATATGAAGTAGCTCTCGAGAGATCCCTTTCTTGTGTTGCTATGTGCATTCCTAGTGATTTATACCTACGAGTCACAAGGCTTCGGAATTCTGAACACTTTCTTTGCTATCTCAAAGCTAACAGGTGCAGCAAGTTCGGTTACAAAAAAGTTCTACTCCTGCTGCATGTTTGTAATGATTCTGAACACCTTTGCTGTTGAGTTTTTTAGAGATCCGAGGTAGCCCATATGATCTACAAATTTCCAAAGTCTTAAATTGTCCTTACAATTTTCAAATACTATCTACCTACAACTTCTAAGCTCCTGCCTTGGCCCACTCACCCGTATCGTTTCGATCCAAATGCTCATTCGAAGAACCGGATTTGCTTTTACCTTCCACAAAGAGTTTACTGCGCGCTAGTGTTACAAAGAAGTCCACTTCTCCCTCGAAGAAGTATTCCCACTGACTAATTAGCAGCTCCACAATCACATTCACAGCCGATGAACTATTCACTTGCCCCAAATAGTCTGCCGGATTGCTTTTATCTACACGCGGCCACAACATATTTGGCGACATCACAATCGCCACATTCTGCGAACTCATCTTGTTGTGATCCACATTCTGTGTGACCAGACAGAGAAAGCGTGTAAGGTAGCGCAAATTCGCATAATTCGCCCCTGGTAGTTTGGCCAACGTCGCTTTGATAGCAGCCTTACGTTCCGACTCACTACCGCATTCCGCAGCATTTATAAAGTCTTTGTAGTATTTGTAGGTGAGTAACGGTTCGGGTAGTTCACGCAAATATAGCTTGAGTATGGAGCCGATCACATGTGGATCCTGATACTCTAACGGCAATGGTGTTTTCACATATTGCGCCTCTAGAGCGTGCTTCATGCGTCGCAATTTGGTGCTTGCACAGCCCACACGCAATAGACCCTCCTCGTAGAGACCATTCTCGACGAGACAACAAATGCACAGCTCAAGAATGTAGGAAATCTCACGATTCGTCGACTCTAAATGCTCTGTCAGCGAGGTACCAAAGCGCGATTTCGCCGTCGATTGTATGACGTCCTGTATGGAGGCGAGCGATGTATTCACCTTTTGTAGCGCACGCTCGTGAAAATTGCGCTGATAGAGCACATAGTCGCGTACGCTCTGAACGATGACATCCTCTTTGGTGATTAGCTCGAACATGAGTGCGGCGAGAGAGTCACGCTCCTTCTCTAGCTTCACTTCGCATTGTTCTTGTTGGTCTTTGATGTGAGCGATTTTCGCAGGCGCCTCGTCCAGGCGAATGGAGGCCTTAAAGAAAAGAAGTAGAGGAAAGGTTAAACATTAAAAATTATCTACTGATTTACAATTTGCCAATTTAAAAGGGGTCAAAAATCGATAACAAATAGAAATTGTAAATTTTTATTCGGCAGTCGCAAAACAAAAGTAGACGACACTCTTATCTTTGGTTCAATCACTCCTTCAATAAGCATTACCACGCCATTTTCCCCTATTTTCGACCTTACTCGCACAATTTTACAAACACCTAACTGTTGTGCGTTGCAGTTCAAACACAGCCAGCGGTAAGCGTATATTTCGCGAATATATGTATGTACACTTTTATATCCCAATCAATGCCAGTGACATCAGACACACAAACAACAACAATAGAAAAAAAAAACTTTATAACGCAATATTGCAAAAGAATAACAACAAAATGTACGAAAATAGAAAGGCGCAACACGCCAACAAATCCGATTAAAACTCTGCAGCAACAACGTAGCAGTCGATGGAGTGTGCAGATGCTGAGACAAAGTATTGGAGGAGGAAAGCGATGGTCTATTACAAAAGCGCAAATTTAATCAATAAAACTGCTGACTAAGCCAAATGAATAATCGCTTATGCAGCTAGCTACGTAGCAAACACACTTTCAGATGTTCGAGAAATTTGGATTTTTTTTTTTTTTAAGTTAATTAAGACGGAAATTCTGGCAACTAAAAATTAAATTAAATAAACAAATAACTATATTTTTCTTTCTAAAACAACAAAAACTACAAATTAAAAGATATTTAAATTAAAATAAAAAATAAATAATAAAAATTGATTCTCAAATAAAAAACATTTTTTCTTTTCGATACAATAACATCTTAAAACTAAACAAAAATTTAAATTATAAAGAAAATAAAATGGGAAAATAATAAAATAAGTTACAACAATTAAATGGACGTAAAAGAAACATATGTATAGTTTTTTTTCTTAAAACCATAAAATCTAAAACTTAAATTAAAAATAAATTAAAAAGTACAAAAATAAAAAATGCTTCAGAGAATTAGATTGAATTAATGTTTTTAAACAATAAAAAGTAAAAATAAAAAGAAAATGTAAATAAAAAACATATAAAAAAAGAAAGCATGTAAATTAAAAAAAAAATCGATCCAAAAAGTTAAATAAAAATAAAAATTTAAATGTATTTTTCTTTTCAAGGTAATGAATTCTAAAAATTTAATAAGAAAAGAAACAAATAAAAAAAATTTTATAAAATAAGCATTTTTTTTCTTTTTAAAGAATTTAAATCTAAAAACTAAAAGAAAGTTATAAAAAAA